TGTGTGTCTGTGTCTGTATGTGTGTCTCTGTTTGTGTGTCTGTGTCTGTATGTGTGTCTCTGTTTGTCTGTCTGTATCTCTGTGCATGTCTGTGTCTGTGTGTCTCTGTCTGTGAGTCTGTAAGATACTGGGGTTGGACCTCGGCACCTCCTGCATGCTGAACAGGTGTTCTGCTACTTGCTACCGTGTGCAGCAGTTAGAGTGTATCTCATTCACAACATTACTGTGCTTTCAGGAGCACTATTTTGTCATCAAGCCCATGGACCACTGCCTGCTGTGTGTGTGCGTGGTGCCCCTCCCTGACCAGCTCTGCAGAGATGACATCCTCCTGGGAGATGACGGGGGGTTTGTGAACAGGTTCACTGTAAACAGCGATGACTTTGGATTAAAGCAGACAAAAACAAAGAAGAAATTACAGACCCAGGTCCTAGACTCTAAGAACTTTAAAAGGTAAGGACATCACGTGAATAGTCCTCCCTTTGCTCTAACAATTGTAGACATTGTTCAGTTCTGAAGGCATAGAGTAAAATGAGTTGCAAGACTCACAGTACTTTTGAGAATTAAAGCCGCCTAATCTAGGCTTGGAGGGTCATACTTATAGACCCAGTCTCTGGGAGGCAGAGGAAGCATGAGTTTGAGGCTAGCCTAGACTATATATGGAACTCCAGGTTAGCATGGGCTACATAGTAAGACTTTGTTTCAGTACATTTAAATATGAAAGAAGATGCACTTCTCATCTCAAGAAACTTCCCAAAAAATAAGGAAAGCATAATTATTAACTGAAATTCAAGTGTTGTTGACTAATAAAATCATGAAGAAACAGCAAAACGTATATTGTTGTGTATTTATGACTACTTCCTGGCAACTGAATAAGAAACTTTCTATACATAAAAACAATAGATACAGTTTTTTTTAAAAAAAAAAAACAATTTGATAGAATTGATTATCTGCCAAATTAAGTTTCCAAGACTTCAAAAGAGTAAATTAAAAAACTGAAATATACTGCAATAAATATTTGCTGCAAATATGAGAGACAAGGAGTTAATATTCCTTAATTGAGTTCAGCATTCAATTAAAAACATTCTCCTGGGCTGAAGAGATGGCTCAATAGTTAGGAACATGTATCTGCTCTTGCAGAGGACCGTGACCAAGGTGCCCATGCTGAACAGCTCACAAATGCCTGTAATTTCAGTTCCAGAGGACCTGATGCCTTTTGGCCTCACATGGCAGCTGCAACCACATGCACTTATACATAGACATATACACTTATTATTATTTTAGTACTTATTAATTTGTACTGTATGTACACACATGAATCATCTGTTCATGACCTTTCCTCAGTACAATTGTTGCTGCATTGAATTTAGATTAGCCATGTTGCTAGAACTCTAACTAACCAGTCAGGAAGACAGCTCCATTTCATGCCCCCTGTATCCAGGCTGTGTTTGTCTGTTTTATATCTGTCCCTGTGTGGTGTGCTGCCCTGTACACTATGGGCTCTTTATTTCAGTCATGATAGGCACAGATAATAGAACCTTTTCCCCACTCAGAGGTGGACCACTTGCCCGAAAGGTCCTTGGTCCATGGTCAGTTTCTCCATTCATTAGATAGGTATGTCAGAAACGAGAATGGGGCAGGGTGGGATGAATTATAAGTCGGGAAGGACAGTTAAATTTTGTAACCATTATAAAAGTTTTACTGAAGTCGACATCCTCAGAATTTGTTCATTTTGAGTCAGTAAGGATGTGGCCAGAAAACACTGATATATGGAACACTGTAAAAATCAGAGAACTCACCAATATCAAGAGTTCACAATTAAACAAAATCTAGGTGCTCCCTCCTGATACCTGCACAACACTGATACCTGGAGTCTCAAATGTGTCTGTTCAAATAGAAGCCACATGATGCCCATTATGCTAAACACATGCAGATGTTCAGATTTTTTTCGTTAAAGTAAGAAGATGGCCTATATTACACTGGGATCTTCCTAAATTGTTCTTTTTCCTCATTAGTTTCCTTTTTCTGTCATTGTGACAAAATATCTGAGAAATTAACTTAGGGAAGGCAGGGTGTATTCTGCCTCTGTGTTTAGAATGGGTACAGCCCATCATGAGGAGGCATGCATGGTGGATGTATTCTGCCTCTGGGTTTAGAAGGAGTACAGCCCATCATGAGAAGGCACGCATGTGGCAGGACCATAAGCTTGTCACACATCTTCTGTCAGAGTGACGGATGCTGATGTTCATGCTTTTATTCCTGGATTCCAGCCCATGGAATGGTGTCACCCACATTTCGAGTGGTTCCTCCTTCCTCAGCTAAACTGCTTTTCACATTGCATCTAGAGGTTTGTTTCCTAAGAGATTCTAAATCTAATCAAATTGAGTCACACCTTTGCTTCTGAAGTCATAGCTCAAGACTTCACAAGAGCCTTGCAAAGTTATTTTTTTACACTTTGACTATGCTAGACAAAGACCAGTTACACGGCTGAACATGGTGTGATGCACAAGGCTCCAGCACATCTGTAGGCTAAGCAGAGTTCACAGTTACAACCTGACCCAACACAAACGAAATGCTAAACAGAAGAAAAGATGTGTCTAACATAACAATCCCCCCTTTTCATTCAGTGTCAAGAGGAAGTTGCATAATGACTGGGTTATGAAAATCAGATACATTCCAGCTCTCAATTGCTTTGGATCCTGCTCCCTAGATAGTGTTCATTCATTGGTTTTGGAATCCTTGAAGAGACTTGAGGACAATTTGTAAGTACAACCGTGTACCTATGTGAGCATTCTGGGACCCTCAGCATTCTTAAAAATGATAAGCCCACTGCAACCTTATAATGTTCAGAGTAGTTCTCAGAAATATCAGAAGTTAGCTGTCCCCTTGGTGTGGCAAGGCTAATTAGACTTTTGGGTAAAACAGAAGTCCGTCCCATACATGTAAATATGATATCTCCTCTTCACAGGAGGCATACCCAACTGTTATTTAGTGGGGACTGGGGACAAAGCTCTGCTGGAGCACATGTCTAGCATTCGTGAGACCCTGGCTTCTATTCCCAGCACTACAAAGAATCATTTATTGGTCTAATGTATTGTAATAAGTCGATAGACCTGTATCTATATTTTAAGCATTATTTTATTGGTAAAAGTTTACACTTCAGAATCGTTTTAGCTAGCCAGTAAATTCTACTTATAATCTGTATGTAGCCAATCATATTTTATCTATCATAAGCACACCAACTGGTGTTCTCATAGAACTGTGAGTTTGAGTAATATCTGACTCATTTTTAATCTGGTTAAATATTTCCTAATAACTAGTTATAGCATTTGAATTTTTAAGTCTTTACGATACTTATAATGGCAGACAAACTTCAAAAATATTCTAAGGGACAGAGGCTTAGTAAAAATTCTGTTTATTGTATAATTCCATTTATTTGACACACCTCAAAGGACAGATTTATAGTGACAAAATGTAGCTTCACTGTTTGCCTAGGGTTAATGGCAGAAGCAGGAATCGCAAATGGGCACATGGGAAATTTCTAACGTGGAGTAACTTGTCTTAGTCAGGCTTCTATTGCTGTGATAAAACATCATGACCAAAACCAAGGTGCAGTGGGGAGGCGTTATTGCATCTTAGAGCTTGCAGTCCATCATCCAGGGAAGTCGTGATAGGAACCTGGAGGCAGATAGTGATGCAGAGGCCATGGAGGAATACTGTTTACTGGTTTGTTCCACAGAGCTCGCTCAACCCGCTTTCTTATACACCCGCAGGACCACTTGCTGCATCAATAACTGGAATAAAAAAACCTCCCACAGACTGGGAATTAGGCAGACTCCCCAACAGGCAGCCAGATAGAGAGGGACTATTACTAGGTGAACATATCATATAACTTTCACAGGTATATAATTTATGATACATCTATATAACAATATGTTGTTTCATATTGTTTTGAATAAGTTGTATGCTGGCTAGTTTCATGTAAACTTGACACAAGTTAGAATCATGTGGGAAGAGGAAACCTCAATTAAGAAAATGGGGTCCTGTGGGTTAGTCTGTGGGACACTCTGTTTCTTTCTCTCCTTCCTTCCTTCCTTCCTTCCTTCCTTCCTTCCTTCCTTCCTTCC